ACATCATGCTTGGTAAAGTAGAGGGTCAGCGAAAAAGAGGAAGACCCTCAATGAGATGGATTGACACAGTGGCTGCAACAATGGGCTCAAGCATAGCAACCAAACGATTGTGAGGATGGCAATGTTTTGTTCTGTTGTACATAGGGTTGTTATGAGTCGGAGTCGACTCAATGGCACCTAACAACAATAACAACATAGATTGTGTGTATCTATCTGAAAGGGCCAAGTAAAACACCTAATATTTCCTGTCCTAGGAGCTGGGAAAATATGGTCTGCTCTATTACAATGCACTGTTCATGATTCTGCCCACACTGGCCATTGCATATTTCACAGGAGATGCACAAAAGGTAAGACTGTGTAATTATGGTTTAATGGTTTATGTTAATGAATTGCATTATGATTCATGACCAAATACTGAGAGTTTGCTTTTTAGCTTGCTAATGTCATGCTAACCTTTTTTCTTGGCATAAGTATTGGATAGTACTAAAATGGCTCAGAATAGCTCTGACTGTCAATATAAAAATAGTGCATGTCAGCTAGTGTCCTTTTCTTATGTGCCAGAAGGATAGAGGAAGGGAATTTTTACATTTCTCCTAAGCTACAAAATAGATATAGTAGAAAACTCTCCTTGAGAAACAAAAAATCCTGAATAGTGAAATTCTTCATACCCTAAACAAAATGCTAGGCTTCATGAGAAGCTTTGTGTTTTGATGTACAGTTGTCATCCTGGCTTACATCCCAAGCTGTCGCTGTCACCGCCGCCACCACCCCCCGTCCCCTGCCCCGGAGATATTTAGCACTTTGTGGTCACTTAACCATATAAATAGCAGTTAATATAATAGTTTATCCATTTTCTACAATATTTAGCTATATAAATCCAGAATAGAGGAGTAATGAAATCTAGAGAAGAATTTTCCTCCAAAACAAGCTGACATTCATAGGAAAAAAGTAACACCATATTGTTAAAATTCACAGAATTTTGCAAACTAAATGGAAATCCAGACTTCTGCCAAGGATTTCTGTGCCAGGATTCCTTCTAATGATTCCCTTGGCTAGTAACTTCTTGAGAATAAATGTGTTGGTTATTCATTCTAATTACAGTGACAGTTCCCACAAATCAGTGGGAGCCAAAATAAAAGGTTTTTGAAAGCAATTATACTGTTAAAAAAAATTATTCTTGGAATCAAAGGCAGAAGGAGAAGACTGCTTATAAAGTTGTTATTTTTTTTATCAAGAACTATTTCTTTTAAAGAATTGGCACAGATCATCTTGAATGTAGACATAAATGTTTTAATGAACTGTAACCAGGCCTCCAGCAGGCCTAAAAATGGCCCCAAAGTAGAAGATGGAGCTATTGCTCTGACTAATAAGAAGTGTTGAATAAGTATTTTATGGCTATGAAAGAATAGGAACAGAAACCAACTAAGTGGTTAAAATGATTAAGCACCTGACTACTAACCGAAGGGTTAGTGGTTTGACTCTACTCAGAAGTGCCTTGGAAGAAAGGCCTGGTGATCTGCTTCCAAGATCACAGCCATTGAAAATCCTATGGAGCAGTTCTACTCTGCAACACATGGATCACAGTGAGTCGGAATTGATGGCAAAGGGTTGTGTGGTGTTTTTTTTTGGTTAGTCACTATATGTATGTATATATATATTTGGTTAGTCACTAAATGTGTGTGTGGGTGTGTATATATATATATATATATGTATATATATATACACACACACACACATATTGTATAATGGAGTCCTCGTAATAGCTGTAGTTTACCAATGTGGAAAGTTTGAATTTTCTCTGTTTTATCAATGTGGAAATGGAGGTTCAGAGAGACTAAGTAACATGCCCAAGGCTATATAGTTGGTGGGTGGTAGAGTCAGGTTTTACGTAAATCCAAGCCTGACTCCAAAGGCCGTGGTCTTTCACAGTGTTCTGCCTTTTTTAGCAGACTTTGGCAGAAGAGCCACCCACTTTCAAATTTGGGGCATATATGTGACAAGATATCAGCCTCTTCATGGTTTCAAATCTTGAGGCCAATCTGTACATGAGAAAGTAGGATTAATGTGGGTAGGTACTAAGGATTTAGCAAAGATGGAGTTTTCATTAAGTTGAAACTTTGACTGGAAACTTGTAGCTACTTGAAAGAAGGAGACATTTCTTCATTTCAGAGTGGTGATAATTTACCTGTAAATTATCTGTAAGGTTGTAGCATAGTCTGTGAGGCTGTAGCATAATTCATAGATATTTCAAAATTTGTAGTTCATATTCCATTTGAAATGTTCCAATATAATTAAGAATGTTTACTCAGTGTAAAAAGTTACCACCTATATTAGGACGAGATTTAGATTTTTTCCTTAATCTTCTTTCTTTCCTTTTTTAAGCAGAGGAGTGGAATTTGAGTAATCTATTTGTTTTCCCAATGCAAGTGCCAGGTAAAGGTCAGGAAAGGTTTATTTTGGAAGAATTATGTTTATAAAGAATGCCAGAGTTCATCTAAATACTTTTAAGCTGGGACAGTAAACTAATTATTGAAGCTGAACTCATTTCTTTATTAGTCATTAGTGTTTTGAGTTTTACATAAATCTTTGTTCATCCTCACTCTTAATAGTAATTAATATGGTTCTTATAAAACATTTATTGGGGTACACAGGGAAACACTGGCTGTCGTATTTCAATTTCATGCTCTTTTTCTCTCCTTCCTAACATACTCAGATAGTTATTAAATTTTATTTTGTGTCTTACCGTGTTAGATTTAGGTGGTAAGGAAAGAAAAAAAGATGATTAGGTGGTGTTCTTGCCTTTGAGGACCTTACTTGGGGACTAGACCTGTCAAAATAAGAGCGATAAACTGTTAATAGGTTCTGTGAGAGAAGTACATTTGGGGCATTGTGGGGTATAAAGCAGAAGTGAATTCCATCTCCTTGTTGGGGTTGAGAGTAGAATACCCCATGGAGGTTTGCCTACAGACAAAATTAAAATATAGGTGGCGTGAATAATCAGTGTTTTTTTTGAGACTATGAATAAAATTTGAAACTTACAAAGTGAGAGTTCTAAGTTTGATTCTGTTCCTAAATTCCTTGTGTGCTTACAAGGCAAGTGGTAGAATTTCATTTTAAGTTCAGTTTAATTAGTATTTTGCTTATGAAGCAAGTTACCACAATTTCATTTTATATTCAGTTAAATTTAGTATTTTTGAACATCTTCCCTTTGCTAAGAAAGCCTTATACTAAGTTCTCGTGGGGATATATGAGAAATATGCCACAGTCCTTGACACACAAGGAACACATTTAGCATGATACAGAGATGGTGTAAGATCTAACACCAAAGTGCTTGCTCATCACTTAGTATGCTACTGAACATGTGAGTGTTCAGGTTAGGAAGAAATTGGTGTGGGTTGGGCATGAAGATTGATGTTTTAGAGGAGGTAGGGCTTGATTTTCTTATGCACCAAATGTAACAAGTAATGCTAACCTAGGGCATTGTTAGCGACAGCAAGCCTGGAAACATTGGGTGGAAGCCATATATAACCAAAGGTTTTCAGAAGGCTCATAGTATTCTTCAAGAGGTTTGCAGTTTATTTCTTCCACTGGAAGATTCCAGTTTCATAGTAGTCAGGAGTCTGTTTGCCTGAAGCCCTGGCAAAAACGGTTCACATTACGAAGTCAGATATGTGGCAGGACTGCAGGTAAGAGTTTTCTAGTAGGTCAGGTTCATTTTCATTGTATATCCTTTAGAACTGCGCTTTTTCTCCAAAATATGTATATATAGATAAGCATGCATGTGTGTTTATATAGTTTTTTAAGAATGGACACTTTTTTTTTTGGTGGCGACTTATCTTTATATAGAGCTGTTTTCACATGAACAGTGTGGGCCTGATTTTGGCCTTTAGTGATACTTCACCTGCAGTGTATGATACCTCATACTTAACAAGCTGCTTCCACATGCATCATTTTCCCTAATACTCATTATGTACCTTTGAGGCAGGGTGCTGTTATGGATTGTATCCTCTCCTCCCAAAAATAGGGGTTAGACCTGTGGCTGTACTCCCATGTGGGAATAGAGCTTTCTTTGTTGTATCAGTGAGGCCGTATCAGTGGAGAGTGTGCTTTAGACCTTCTCACTTTTGAGATAGAAGCAGATTAGGCACAGAAGCAAACAAGCACAAATAGGGGAAAGTTAGATTGCCAAGGAACCCAGCAATGAAGGTGCTAGAGAAGCTGAGACAAGGATTTCCCCCCAGAGCTGAGAGAGAGAGAGCCTTCCTCTAGAGCTGGTACCCTGAATTTGGGCTTCTAATCTCCTAAACTGTGAAAAAATAAATTTCTGTTCGTTAAAGCTGTCTGCTTGTGGTATTTTTGATATAGCACTAAGAAACGAAGACAGTTGCTATGTTTTATAGAGGTTGAGGGCATGCTCAAGGTTGCAAAGAGATTAGGATGAGGACCTGTCTGTCTGACTCCAGATCCCTTGCTGTTTGCCCAACTACACGTATCTCCTCAAGCCATTCGCTGCCTCCCTCACTTCCCCCCACCATTTGGGACTGTCAAGCAGGGCTTTCTCATAGGATAAACTAGTGAATGTGAAAAATGCCTCAGTACTGGTATTAGAAGTAGCGCCTCCACAGCTTGTCCTTGTAGTTACTTGATTGTTTATAAATAATCATATTTCTCTCATTCATTCAGATATTTATTTATTATGTGTCAGGCACTGTTCTTTTAAAAAAAAAAAAAAGGACAAAAGTCCCTGCTTTAGTGGAGCTTGCATTCCAGTGGGTTGAGATAGACTAAACATAAATTACATAGTAAGTGCTCTGAAGAAAAATAAAACAGGGATGAGAGTTCTGGGGAAGTGTTATTTTAAATAGGATCGTTAGGGAAGGCATCTTTATAAGGTGCATTGGAGCAGACACTGAACTGAATGAACTGAGAGCAGTTTGTGTGGCTCTGGAGGAAGAATAAGGAGCCCTGGGGTGCAGTGGTTAAGCACTTGGCTGCTAACCAAAAGATTGGCAGTTGGAACCCACAAGCCCCTCCATGGGAGAAAGATGTGGCAGTCTGCCTCCGTAAAGATTTACAGCCTTGGAAACCTTATGGTTCTACTCTGTCCTGTAGGGTGGCTATGAGTTGAAATACACTCGATGGCAGTGAGTTCGGTTGGTTTGGTTGGAGGGAGAATAATCTAGTTTGAGGGAAAGGTCCTGAAGTGGGAGTGCTTAGCTTGTTCACAAGAGCATTTTCTGAATAGGTGTATACCAGGAAAAGTGGAGCTGGGCCTGGAAGGATGAGGAGAAAGAGAAACAAAATGCACATCTAGGAGAAACTCACCACATGAGCACAGGCAGAACTG